CTTTCCTTTGAACCTGTCTTAATGGTTCTTTGTATCAAGGTGATGGTTTGTTTTAGTCACTATATATCTACTATAAGAGCATATTGATTTCTTGTAAATGTGTGCCTTTACCTCACTTTCAAATTTCTTGAGCTGAAATATCTTATGTTCAAGTTATTTATCTTGTTATTAAGTCTCCCTTTAGTTTCTATTTCACATCTCTTTCGTATTCTCTGAATTCCAATTATTTTCAGTAATACTCTTGTCATCTTGTTTTAGTTTTTGATAGGAAGTTGCCATTGATTTCTAGACACTGATTTCATTGGCATCCATCTCCTCTAAACCAAATTGTAATTCTTGAGTATACATGGTGTATGTGGCAATCTGACCCATATTGATAATGGCAAAACAATTCTACTTTTCTGATTTCGTTTTGATGAAGGAGTTCTTGTATCAAATTGCACATGACAAATGACAGCATGTGACAAATAGGAATTACGTAGCTTAAAAGTACAAAGGATATTATTAGAGAAATGAGTCACTGGAAAAATAGAGGGGCTTCAGTGAGACTGAAGATAATTAACAGACGTATCACTTGTTCATTTGGGACTACTGTAACATCAAGAGAATGTGAAGATGACTTCTAGCATGTTGAATGGACCTGCTGTGGTGAATTTAGATGAGCACCTGAATGTGAGTCCTTCAGGAAGGGCAGGTTTGAATAGGTTTAAAAAAACATCGCAGAGTGTGAGTTAGGTGGGATCACAGTGGCCATCTGGTCCAACCCATACACAAAATAATAACTAATATTTACATAGTACTTATTATGTACCAGGCACTGTGCTAAGTACTTTACGGTTGTCATCTTATTTGATCCTCACAACAACCCTGTGAAGTAGGGGCTATTACTACCCCTCTTTTACAGATGAGGAAATTGAGACAAACAGGTAAAGTGATTTACCCAGGGTCATACAGTTTGTAAGTGTCTGAGGCCAGATTTGAATCCAGGCCTTCCTGACTCCAGGGCTGATGCTCTATCCGCTGTACCATCTAGCTACCTCAAGGAATTCACAAAAATCACAATTAGGAGGTCATGCCATATGAAGATCAGTTGAATTAACTGGAGAAGAGAAGATTCAGGAGGGATAGAAAAGCTGTCTTCAAGTTCTTGAAAGCCCGTCATGTGGAAAAAAAGATTAGAATTATTCTACTTGGTACCAGAAAGCAGAAATAGGAAAGACCCAATTAAGAAGTCCGCCCTGGGCTCAGCACTCTATCCACTGTGCCATCCTGGCAGCCCCAAAGGAAAGATCCTACTGGAACATATATGCAATACATGGTTGTCCATGAAGACCTTGAAGGAGGACTAACCCACTACTTTTGCAGGCAGCCCATTCCATTTCTGGACAGTTCTTATTGTTAGGAGTTTTTCCTGCCATCAAGTCCAAATCTCTTTGCGATGCCATCTCTTATTTCTAGTTCTTCCCTCTGGGGCTCAGTGAGTAAATCTAATCCCTTCTCCATATAACACTCCTTTAGATACTTGAAAACAACTATTATGTTACCAGTGAGTCTTATCTTCTCCCAGATAAACATATCCAGTTCTTTCAACAGCCCTCATATGTCACGGACTCCAGGCTCTTTGCCATTCTGATTCCTCTCCTCTTATTAATCACTCTCTAGCTTATTAATCTTCATCTTTGGAGTGAGTGCTTACATTGATGAGATTGGAGAGCTATTAAAGTGTCCTTTGTTTAGTTGATGTGGGTGAAACCCTAGAGTTGCTTTTATTTGAATTTCTCTTCTTAGTAACTTATAGCATTTTTCCCATATGATTGTTCATTTATATTTCTGTTTCTGAAATGTCTTTCTACACATCCTTTGACAGTTTATCTATTGGGAAATAACTCTTGGACTAATACTTATGTCAATTCTCTGTAAATCTTTGCTGTATGAATTTTATAGGGGGTGTATTTTAGAGAGATTTTTTTCCTACTTATTATTTTCTTCCTTATTCTGGATGTATTGATTTTGTTCACACACACACAAAAAAAACCAAACCTGTTTAATCTTACATAATCACAGTTGTCTTTTTTGCCTTTGGTTATCTTTTCTTTTTCTTTTGGTTAGTAATTCTCCCCAAACGCTGGATCTGGGAAGTGTCTCCTTTGCTTTTTTTTTTTTTTTTAATGCTCTTTTGCCTCTAGGTCCCTTTTCTACTTTGAGATTATTGTGGTGTATGGTATCGTGAGTATGGCCCAAATCTCCTGATGGTCTTACATCCTGTACCACAATAACATCCAAAGAAGAAGAAATTTAATAGATTTAAAGGTAAAGTCTTATGTTTATACTTTTTAAAAAAAAATTCAGCCTAATGAGCTTAAGATATGGAAGGTATGGAAAAGATGTGGAAACTTGAGTGAACTCTGCAGAAATCCATATCTGACAATAGTGCAAAATGGCTGCAAAGAAAGTTAAGTAGCCTTAGACTGCAATAATCAAGATACGGTGTCCAGCAATGGGGTACGTAGCTCTCGCAATTGAGTGCCAGGCCTAGAGATACTCATGTTTGTGAGTTCAACTTTGACCTCAGACACTTCTACTGTATGACCCTGAAAAAGTCGCTTAAACCTTTTTGTCTCATCTGTTAAATGAGCTAAAGAAGGAAAAGGCAAACCAGTCTAGTACCTTTGCTGAGAGAATCTGAAATTGGGGTCATGAAGAGTTGGACACAACTGAAAAATGACTAAACAACAAGAGTGTCCAGGAACACAAGGGGGTGACAGCCCCATTGCACTGATCCCTTCTTTCAGTCTCCAGCCTTCTTGACCTCTCTGTAACATTCAGTCTCCTTGATTGCTTATTCTTCCTGGATACTCCCCCCTCTGGATTTTCATGACCTCATGCAGTCTTGGTTCTTCTCCTCCCCATCTGGCCACTGCTCTGTCTCGTTTCCTGGCTCTTCATCCAAGTCACATCTCCTCACCATGAGCATACCCCTTGGACCCTCTTTGATCTATATAATCTCTCTCTTGGTGATCTCATCAATTCTAATGGGCTTAAATGATCATTTCTATGCAGATGAGTTTCATATCTTTTCATCCAGCCCTCATCTTTCTCCTGAGCTTCAGTCCCATATCACCAACTTCTTGGGCTTATTGAATTGGAGGTCCCTTAGGCATCTCAAACGCAACATATCTAAAACAGAACTCATTAAATTTCCCCAGACCCCTTCTCCCTTCTGTGCAGTGTGCATTCATCCTCCCAGCCACCTGGGTTTTCAGCTTTGATGTCATCCACCACTGCACACACTCCTCCTAAATATCCAGTCTGTTGTGAAGTCTGTCATTTCTATCTAGCTTCACAACATCTCCCCTCTATGTCCTTTTGTCTCCACTCATAGACACCGCTCTAGTTCAGGCCTTCATGAAACACTTGAGGAGACTATTGTAATGGGCTTTTAATTGACTTCCCTGCCTCCTGTGTCTCCCCACTACAATCAATCCTTCACACAACTGCCAAAGTGATCTTCCTAAATCACAGATCTGATGTGTCACCTCTTTCTCCACACCCCCAATGAATAAACTCCAGTGGCTCCCTGTTACTTCCAGGATCAAATATAAAGTCCGCTGGCATTTAGAGCTCTTGCCAACCTGACCTCTTCTCATCTTTTCAGTCTTCTTATGCTCTGCTCCTTTTTCTGTACTCTAAAATCAAGTCATCCTGCCCTATTTGCTTTTCCTTGAACATGGCACTCCTTCTCCTGTATCCATTACCTTTTCACTGACTAGCTCTCATACCTGGAGTACTCTCTCTCTCTCTTCTCTGTCTTCTTGTTTCCCTGGCTTCCTGCAAGTCTCAGCTCAAGTTTTACCTTCTGTAAAGGCTTTTCTCATTCCCTCCCCTCCCCCCAGCCATTAAGGTTTTGCTTTCTAAGGTAACTTTCAAGCCTTCCATCGACTTATTTATTTGTTATCTTCCCCATGAGAAGGTAAGGCTCTTGTGGTTGGGGAATATTTTTGTCTTACTTTGATTCCCCAGTGCTTAATGGTGCCTGGAATTAAGTAAGCACTTAATAAATGTTTATTGGCTGACTGATATAATTCCTCTGAATAGACTAGTTTATCGGTGTCCCTTTTTTATGTGGTTTTTAAACTTGCATTCAAAAATCCAAATGTGGTTTGACTGGTAGAACTTGCAGTAACACAATTACTTTCTGGGAACTGAACAATAGACCTACTGCTAAGGTTTTAGTGGCCACAACGTATGATTACCTTATGTTGAGATTGTAGTCAGCTTATTGTCATGGAGGTTGTCGAAATGTTGAAAAGGCCAAATACAGAGACGAGACACAACATAAGAAACCTCCAGTCATGTTAATTTGACAAGACTGAATGAGGTGTTTGAAGTGGCTACAAATCCATCAGTCATAATCCATGTCATACTGATATTTCTCCATATCTAAAAGGATATCTTGGAAGACTTTAACCTGTTGTTGTGTGTTAGGAATCCAGACATACTCTTAGCTCAAACTCATGCACTCTGAGGTTCTAGCTTTCTTAAATTTTCCATACTAGCTTTTAAGGGTTAAGAATTTGCCATTATGGATATCATATCTCTTCATGATTCCAATCATTAGAGATCACAGATGATTCCCTTGGGAATCAGTCTTTAGTTTCCGAATTAAACTTTTGTAAATTTAATAATCTTTATTAAGATCTGTTAATATAATTTCTCTGTCATCTAGAGGTACTTTGAGTGTCCTGGAATGTAATTCGCTTAGTCCTAGTTACTTAAACATATTTAAAACAAAGAAGTACTTGTTTTGTTTTGTTTTGTTTTTTGGTTATCTTATCATATTTGGGGTATTATTGAATTGCACCTTTAAAATATTTATTCTGTCCTTTCCAAATTTTTGATCATTTTCTTTATAAGAGAAAATAAGATCTAGAATTTACATTGTAAAGCAGATTCCTCTCACCCAGCACGTTGGAAACTGACACTTTTTTCCTTTCTTTCAGAGTTCCTTAGTCAGATGTCCAGGCATGAAACAGCAGAGTCAACTGTAAATCCATGTGTTTCTCCCGAAGAGGCATCTAAGGAAAGAGTTAAGACAGATGGTTCCTGGAAATACAAAATGGGAGAAGCCTGTGAACAGGATGTCAGAGTAGAACAAAAGAATTGCAATCAGGACAGACAAGCCAGTCAAGAGACAACTATCCACAGAGAAATTTCTGCTAAGTCTGTGTTTGAAAGTTGTTTCAGTCTGGAGTCAGTCCTTGTTTCACAAGAGGGAGTTCATGCTAGAAAAAGTCTTCAGGAATGTGGTACATATGGAAAGAACGTAAAACAGTATTCAGACCTAGATGAAAGTGACAGAGTCTTTTGCAAGAATAATCTTTGTAATTGTAATATATGCAGCAAGTCATTCAGTTGCCCTTCAGACCTTATTTACTTTAATAAAGAGCATAGTGAAGAAAAAGTATATAAATGTAATGAGTGTGGGAAATTCTTCACCAATGGAAAATCCCATAGAAGTCATCAGAGAATTCATACAGGAGAGAAACCCTTTGAATGTAATCAGTGTGGGAAATCCTTTAGGTGGAAGAGCTATCTTACTGTACATAAGAGAATTCATACTGGAGAGCAACCCTTTGAATGTAATCAATGTGGGAAAGCCTTCAGGCAAAGTTCTCACCTAACTGTACATCAGGTAATTCATACTGGAGAGAAAGCCTTTGAATGTCACCAGTGTGGGAAATTCTTTAGCCTTATTGAGCAGCTTATTGAACACAAGAGAATTCATGCTGGAGAGAAACCCTTTGAATGTAATCAGTGTGGGAAAGCCTTCAGCCAAATTTCTCAACTTACTCGACATGAAAAAATTCATTCTGGAAAGAAACCCTTTGAATGCCAGGAATGTGGGAAATGCTTCATCCGTAGTGAGCAGCTTAGTTCTCATAAGAGAATTCATACTGGAGAGAAGCCATTTGAATGTCATGACTGTGGGAAATACTTCAGCCAGAGAGGGCAGCTTAATACGCATAAAAGAATTCATACTGGTAAGAAGCCTTTTGAATGTAGTCAATGTGGAAAAGCATTTAGCCGAAGCACTTACCTTACTGTACATCAGAGAGTTCATACTAGATCAAAACCCTTTGAATGCCATGAATGTCGAAAATGCTTCTTCAGTAGTGAGCAACTTACTGAACATAAGAGAATTCATATAGAAAAGAAATATTTTGAATGTAATCAGTGTGGGAAAACTTTCAACCGAAGTTCTCACCTTACTGTACATCAAAGAATTCATACTGGAGAGAAACCCTTTAAATGTCACCAATGTGGGAAATCTTTCAGTGATAGTGGGCGGCTCAGTACACACAAAAAAATTCATACTGGAGAGAAACCCTTTGAATGTAATCAATGTGGGAGAGCATTTAGCCGAAATTCTAACCTTAGTGTGCATCAGAGAATTCATACTGGAGAGAAACCCTTTGAATGTCATAAATGTCACAAATTCTTTACCCAGAGCAGGTCCCTTACTGAACACCAGAGAATTCATACTGGAGAGAAACCCTTTGAATGTAATGAATGTGGAAAAACCTTCTGCCGGAGTGGGCAGCTTACTCTGCATAAGAGAGTTCATACTGGAGAAAAGCCCTTTGTATGTCTTGAATGTGGAAAATCCTTCAGCCATAGTTGGATGCTTAGTGCACATAAGAAAATGCATGCTGGAGAAAAACCCTTTAAATGTCTTGAATGTGGGAAATCCTTTAGCTGGAGTGGATCCCTTACTGAACATAAGAGAGTGCATACAGGAGAGAAGCCTTTTGAATGTCATGACTGTGGGAAAGCCTTTAGCCGTAGTGGTCAGCTTACCACACATAAGAGAATTCATACAGGAGAGAAACCCTTTGAATGTCATGACTGTGGCAAAGCTTTTAGCTGTAGTTTTTACCTCACTGTACATCAGAAAATTCATAATGGAGAGAAACCCTTTGTATGTAATGATTGTGGGAAGTCATTTAGCTGGAACAAATCCCTTACTCTACATAAGAGAATCCACACTGGAGAGAAACCTTTTGAATGTAATGAATGTGGGGAATCCTTTACCTGGAAGGGACAGCTTACTGAACACAAGAGAATTCATACTGGAGCAAAGAAACCTTTTGAATGTAATCAATGTGGAAAAGCCTTTAGGCAAAATTCCCACCTTACTGTACATCAGATAATTCATACTGGAGAGAAACCATTTGAATGTCATCAATGTGGGAAATCCTTCAGGCAGAGTTCTCAACTTACTCGACATGAGAAAATCCATATTAGATAGAAATTTTTTTGACTCTGACAAATGTAGGAAATCTTATCTAACACAAACAGCCTTCTGAACTTGATTATTTATATTACTGCAAAGAAATATTTAAGTGTATATAATCAATGGAAAAACCTTCAAAGTTATAAATTTTAATTCTGCAGGAAGAGCTCAGTAGATGGAATATTTTTACATATACTTCTTTCAGAGTGGAAAACAATGAGGACAAGAGAACTCATATTGGAGAGAGAAATTTCAAATGTTATAATGATGGCATTTCTTTTCACGAAGTAGATGTCTTATTGAGCATGAAGAGTATTAATTGATACTTTGGTAAAGAAATACTTTTAAGGCAATGAGTGCGGGAAAGCCTTCACTTACAGTTTTTGTAATCTGCTGCATCAGAGAACTGGAGAAATACCTTTGAACAATGGATGTAGAGAATCCTTTATTTCCTTAAACAATTTACTAAATTTGAGAGAATTCTTTCTGGGTCAAAGAAACTGTTTGAAATCCTTTACATAATCACAGTGTTTTGAAAGTTTGAAGGTACTTCAGTTTCTATCTGCTTGAACCCACATATTTAAGAACGATCTCACTGTGACATACCTGACAAAGTAGTTACCTGATGCGGTCCAGGGGTTAGGAGTCCTGGCACCCCAAAATCATGATACCCGGGTCCTGCCCGAAAGAATTCGACCCAAGCCTTCTTGCAGCCAAAAACAAAGTTTATTGAAGATTCGCCATATTAGCTAGACTCGTAAGGAGCCTGAGCATCTATGGGCTATTGGCTAGACTGTAAAAATCTGAGCCTCTTAATGGAGACAAGATGGAACAATACAGAAAGACTGAGGGAGAGTGACCAAGTAGTCCATGAGGTAATAGAATTCCCAAGGGTAGGAAATGAAGCCTAGGTGGGACCAAGGGTGGGAAGTAGCCTGGGGCCATAGGGAGGCAAGACTATGGAGGGGAGATTGGATGTAGCCACAATGAAAGACCAGTTGATGGGACCATAGCCTCAGGGGAACGCCAGAGATTTGGCCAGGTGGGAAAGTCCAAGGTTTTTCCTTTCTGGGGCTCAGATTACAATCCCATCATTCCCCCGTCAAACAAATAGGAACCCAAATTCTTTTGGGGTAAGGGGCAAAGGTCTCCGCTTCTGAAACTGCTTCCTGCTGACAAGGGGCGAGGAGCTGTCCCTGCCTCAAGGGGTCCCATTTTGTTTAAGGGGTCAGACTTCAGAATAAGGCTGACCCCTGGCTAGGTCCTTAGACTCTGTTGGCTGATATCATCTGGGAGTGGATGGCTCCAACCCTAGAAGGCAAGAATGTTACAAAAGGAGTACAGAGAGGAAGAAGAAGAAGAAAAAAAAACAAAAAAAAATTATGATTTCTCTTCTTTCTATCCACCTGTCAGCTGGAGAGGGCCAGCAGCCCTTCTAAGAGGGCCAGGGGCCTTTCTAAACAACAGCTTCAAATCCTCCAAGGGCTCACAGGTATATTCTGGAGTCTCTGGGAGAGATGACACTGGTTTAATTCTAGAATTATGAGGCCAGCTAGGGAGGCCCTGGAGTTTTACTGCCTTAGGAGTGGTGAGTATGACTCGGTAGGGTCCCTTCCAATTGACATCTGATTGTTCTCCCTTTTGGGTTTTCCATGACTTTAAATAGACCCGATCTCCAGGTTGTACTGGGGCAGGAAGCTCCTTTTCACAGCCAAAAGATTTTGGAAGATGCTTGTCAGCATATTCTGTTAGGGCGTTCCTGACAGCTCCTGAGTTGCAAATTGAGTGATCAAATGCTGTTCTGTGTCTACAAGGATGTCAAGAGGTTAGGAAAGGCCTCCCATACAAAAGCTCAAAGGGGCTAAACTTGATATTTTCCCGAGGTGTGGTAAGGACTCTGAGTAGCCCAATTGGGAAATTCTTAATCCAATCTTCTGGGGGGGGGGGGGTTTCTGTGCACAGCTTAGTAAAGATTCGCTTAAGGGTATGATTCATTTTCTCTACTTTACCAGAGGATTTGGGATTCCAGGCTGAATGGAGATGGTAAGTGATTTTATGTGTCTTTGCCACACCCTGGGTTATCTTTGAAACAAAAGCAGGACCATTATCACTCTGTAAGGAGCTAGGCAACCCAAAATGAGGTATAATTTCCTTTAATAAAAGCTTCCATACCTCCTGAGCCTTTTCCGTTATGCAAGGAGAAGCTTCCACCCAATTAGTAAAGGTGTCAACCAAAACCAAAAGAAATTTGAAACCCCTGCTTAGGGGCATATGTGTAAAGTCTAATTGCCAGTCTTCACCTGGGTAGGTACCCCTCCTTTGAATGGGCTTTAAAAGGGGTGGAGGTTTGACTGCCCCTTCATGGTTTGCCTGGGCACAAGTTGGGCAAGCTCGACAAACTTGTATTGTTGCTCCCAACTTACTGCCAGTAAAAATGGGCTGTATCAGAGATGAGAGCATTCTTCCCCAGGTGTGTGGCCTGGTGTAAGCCAAAAAGAAGCTTCCACTGGCTCCCTTCTGGGATAAGGAGTTGGCCTGAGGATGTCTGAAACCACCCAGAGGAGGAAAGAGAGTATCCCCTTTCTTTAGCAAGAACCTGTTCTTGAGGGCTGTAGAAAGGTGTGAAAGAGTCAGGGAGTTGTGGGAATAAAGGAGCCAATATAGTCAATTGGCGAGCCACATTCTTTGCTGCAGTGCCTGCTAGGCGATTTCCTATGGCCTGATCACTTTCCCCTTTTTGGTGGCCTTTACCAAAGATAACAGCTATCTCAGATGGCTTTTGAACAGCTAGGAAGAGATGTGAAATCTCCTGGGCATGTTTAATAGGGGAATTTTTTTGCTGTCAGATATCCCCTTTCTTTCCAAATTGCTCCATGGGCATGTAGAACATGGAAAGCATATTTCGATTCAGTATAAACATTTACGCTTTTATTTTCCCCTAGCTCTAGGGCTCTAGTGAGTGCTATTAATTCTGCCTTCTGGGCAGAGGTCCCAGGGGGCAGGGGTTTTGCCTCTATAGTTTGGTGGAGGCTAACCACTGCATACCCAGCTCTCCTAACCCGTTGTTCAATGAAACTGGAACCATCTGTGTACCACACTAATTGGGGGTTCAGGAGAGGATAACCTTTTAGATCAGGTCGACTGGCATAAACACAGTCTAAAGTCTCCTCACAATCACGAACTAGAGTATCTGAGAGGGCACTATCTGGAAGGAGAGCTGCCAGGTTGAGGGTACGGCAGACTCGAAGAATTAGGTCAGGGTTATCTAAGAGCAAGGCTTGATATTTGGTGAGCCTGCCACTAGCCAGCCACTGATAGCCCTTTGCTTCCAAGATACTCTGAACCCAGTGGGGAGTCAGGACTTCCAGGGGCTGGCCAAGTGTGAGTTTAGAGGCTTCCTCAGAGTAACTGTAGCAGCCACTGCCCGGAGGCATGTAGGCCATCCAGCAGTTACAGTCTAATTTTTTTGAAAAATAAGCAACTGGTCTAGGATCAGGCCCTAAGAACTAGGTTGGTACTCCCAAAAGCTCCCCTCTCCTTTCATCCACATACAGAGTGAAAGGTTTTTCTAGATTGGGCAGAGCTAATGCTGGTGTGGTGGTCAATTTAGTTTTTAAAGTCTTGAAAGCTTTAGCCTGGTCAGGGCCCCATTCTAGAGGGAGTGAGTCAGGGCTGTGGGTATAGTCATAAAAGGGCTTAGCAATAAGACCAAAATTAGGGATCCAGAGTCTACAAAATCCAGCCACGCCTAGAAAAGTTGTAAGTTGTTTCTTAGTGGCTGGGACAGGGATAGACAGCATTGTCTTTTTCCTCTCTGAAGTTAAGGAGCGAGAGGTGGGTGTTAGTTCATGACCCAGATACTTTACAGACTGGCAGGCTATCTGGACTTTGTTCAAAGGGACCCTATAGCCTCGAGTGCCCAAGAAATTAAGAACCTCTGTGGCAGCGGTCAGAGAAGCCTCCCGAGTGGGGCTACAAATTAGAATATCATCCACATACTGAATCGAGCTACTGTCCTCTAGTTCCAGATCCCTTAAATCCCTCCCCAAAGCCTGACCAAACAAATGAGGGCTGTCCCGAAAACCTTGGGGTAAGACTGTACCAGAAAGGAAAAACTCTGGCCCCGATGGGGTTGGAGTTTGAGCCCCAGAAAGGAAAAACCCTGGACTTTCCCACCTGGCCAAATCTCTGGCGTTCCCCTGAGGCTGTGGTCCCATCAACTGGGCTTTCATTGTGGCTACACCCAATCTCCCCTCGTAGTCTTGCCTCCCTATGGCCCCAGGCTACTTCCCACCCTTGGTCCCACCTAGGCTCGATTTGGTTTTTTTTACAGGAAGGATAGGAGTGTTACATGGGGATTGACAAGGGACAAGGATGTTATACTTAAGGAATTTTTCTATCAATGGTTGTAGCCCCTTCCAGGCCTCAGGCTTAATTGGATATTGGCAGGGATGGGGGGATGCATTAGAATCTCGGAGGAGAACAACGACTGGGGTGGCATGAGTAGCTCGCCCAGGAATTCCTTGACCCCAAACAATTGGCTCAACTGTCTCCCATACCTCCAGAGGAACATGGGGGGGTCTGGTGAACAGAGGGAAAAGGGAGATGGGAGGCTTAACTGGAGAAAATTGGCTCCCCAATTTCACCATCAGGTCCCTTCCCAACAAGTGGGTGGGACAAGAGGAGATAACAAGGAAGGAGTGTTCAAACAACAGATCCTCAGACAAACAGGGGAGAGAGTATGTCTCTCGACATCCCCTAGTACTTCCTTCAATACCCGTGACCTGACGGTCGAGGGGCGAGTAGGGCCAGAGTGCTCAGTTAAAACAGAGAACGTGGCCCCCATGTCTATTATAAATCGGGTAACCTTACCTTCAATCTCGATTTTTGCCCAGGGCTTGGTGAGAGATATGGGGAAAGTGGGAGCACTGCCAAACCCCAGGCCCTCCCTTCATTCTGAGTCCTGAGAAGCCTGGAGGACAGGGTACTGGGAGGCGGCTCTACCACTTCTCCAACTTCGGGGACAGTCCTTCCTCTGATGTCCCTCCTGGTCACATGTTGGGCATGGTCCTAGAGGCGGTCCTGGGGGCTCCCTCCCGGGGTGGGGGGCGCCCTACAGGGGCACTCCTTGGACCAGTGGCCCTCTTTGTGGCATCAAAAGCGGGTTTCCCGACTGCCCAAGGTACCAGGAGCACCCTCGGGTCTTTTCCTGGCCATGACAGCAGCCAAGAATTGGGCATGTTCTCTGTCTCTAGCCCTGTCTCTGCGTTCTTTCTCCTCTGCTGCAACTAGGTGTCTGTTGTTAAAGACTCCAAAGGCTGTCTCCAGTAATTGGGCCTGAGGCATTTGGGGTCCCATCACCAATTTCTGCAGTTTCCTCCTAATATCTGGGGCAGATTGATTAATGAAATGCATACTAAGGACTGTTGCCCCTTCTATAGAGTCGGGATCTAAATTGGTATACTTTTTAATAGCTTCTGCTAGCCTGTCTTGGAAAAGGGCAGGGTTTTCCTTTTCTCCCTGAGTAATTTCCTTAATTTTTTGAAAATTTACTTGCTTTTGAAATGCAGTTCTTAGTCCTTCTAACAGGCAAATTACCATGTGGTCTCTTTTTGCCCTATCCTCACTCCTCTGATAATCCCATCCTGGGTCGGTATGGGAACAGCAGCTGTTCCTGAGGGGTGTTTTGTG